TATATATATATATATAATAACTTAACTGTTTATGTCTTTTTTTTATTTAACTGAATTTTGTGATGAGACTAAAGACACTGAGAGAGAATTATTTGTCATGAGGACAGTAATGATGTCCAATCCATGGGAGTCTTGCTGCACGGTCTGTTGCAGTGTCTAACAAATAATGCATTTTCTCCACAGTGAGCCTGTATTTAAACTTGTAACCTTCCCTTTTCACAGAAGCTCAGCTTCGTCACACTAACAGTTAGCGCTAAGAGCAGTTGTTTTGTTTATCTTATGGGTCATTCATAGCCTTCTGTCATTATTACTGTTTTACATGGCCAAATTATAATATAGCCGCCAAATCAACCAGTACATCTCCAACTTTGGAAATCCATGTTGAATACAGCTGACCAAATACATTGCCATGTGGCCCACTAAGTGACTCTGACAAATACTGTGAATGCACCATAATCACAGCAGGGATCCTGCAGAAGCAAACGGTTCCATCTGTTGGGAAGTTTCACTAAGGATCTAACTCCTTCCCTCTTCCCCTTTTCCCTCCCTTCCCTCCTAACATTCCTTATTGCTCCTTCCTTCCTTTCATCCCTGCATTCTCAATCGATGTCCTTGCTACTTGCCTTCTTTTTTCTCCGTCCAACTTTACCTTCTATCCATCCATTCTGTCTCCCCTCCTTGGTCCCACTCCTCCGTGCCTACATCTCTCCACCTAGGTGAATGATGCAGTAGGGTACAAGTGGCCCTGGGTGTATTTTGTCACCTTAATCATCATCGGATCCTTCTTTGTGCTAAACTTGGTTCTGGGGGTATTGAGCGGGTAAGGGCAAGGTTAAAGGTCACTTGAGACTAACTTCTCTCTCTCTGTCCTTCATGCCTTCATTCTGTTGTTCCTAAAGAGCTTTGCTGTTTTTGCTAGAGGGAACTCTACTTCTGTCTACTTCCCACTCCTGGCTGTAGATAGTGTTTAAGTTAAAAAAGTACTGTCTATGTCTTGTAGTAAAACTGGTAGAGGTACTTTAGGTATTTTAGAAACACAATACATACCAACATTTGGCACATGGAAATGGTTTATATACTATTTGGCTATGCTTGTGTCCAAAGTGTTTTACAGTTCCACATGTGTTTGTGGGTTCACTGCCCACTGAACTAAATTAATTGCATACATTTTGAGTCATTATCTTTATAGCTGACTGTAGTGAAATTGTACTTGCATCTGGCTCTAGGACACTTCGATAGCAGGGTATTTTCTGCTATTGAGGCCTTTTGGATATCGCCTCTCTCAATATGCCAAAATGACTCACCCTCTACAACTCTACAGTGTTGCTTCTATAGAATAGCACTATTACTATCATAAAATGCCCCATTGCCAGCGCTACTGGTATGGCATAAAACACTGTCATTACAATTTAAAATAAAGAGCAGTATAAGCCAGTGATATAAATTCAGGCTCCTAGTGGACACAGCCTAATATTACTCCAAATGAAAGTTGTGTTTGTAGAACACTGTAAAGATATTGACAAATACTTTGCAGCTTGCAGATGGATTTCAGCTTTTGGGAATACATTAAAACATTAACCTTGAGGTTATTGAACCTTGCCAGATTATTGGCCACCCACCAACCTCCATTAAAAAACATAAATCAATCATTAGCTTTGTATAGTATAATTTTAAATATGAGTTTCTTTATTATGCTGTAGGTTATGGTGAACACTAATATGGAACAGGTTTAAGGGAGTGAAGTGTCTCACCCCTGACTGACTGACTGACCCGAATCTGACGCTTGACACCCACAGTGATGTGACAGCAGCACTGTGGGAAAAATAATAGAGGTCTGTCAGGTCCAAACAGTTTGGAGGGTTTGGCTGTCTGACTCTTTGTCTGACTGACTCTTTGTCTGACTTCTGACTAATGATTCTGTCAGCACACTACACAGCCTGACCTTTTACCAACTGCTTCTTCCATGGAGTGTGTGTGGGTCTCAGATTGGCATAATAACTAATGGCTAAACAGGAAGGAGAGCAACGTACGTAGAGACAGAAACAACAGGTGTGACTGTGTTTGTCTGGATTTGATGTACTATGTAAATAGAAAGAATGTGGAGAGAGGTTGTCTTGGAAGAGAATGGAGAGAGAGAAAAAGAAACAAAAAGTGAATTCAGTGATGATTTAGGAAAGAAAAATGAGATGAGAGAGAGAGTGGGGGAAATGAGAGCGATGTCTCAGAGTTGTGTACTCACACTCACACACAGTATATACACACACAGGCACACACAAACACAGATCAATAGGATTGGGTCTCCTGCTAATGTTCTGACAAGCGAGACAATAGCAATTTGTCCTAATGCTCATTGATCTGTATTGTGTGTATGAGAGTGTGCCTATGCTGTCTGTTGAGTGTGATCTGAGGTTCCTCTAAATTTCACATAGGACACACACACACACTCCCTCTCTCTCTCGCTCTCTCTATTTCTCTCTCTCTCTCTTTCTCTCTCTCTTCTCACACACACACACACACACACACACGCACACACACTAATTCTGTTCCAGACTGACTGTAAAAATCAATGAAAATGGCACATGATATGATATGACGTCTATAGAGTTTCATTATGGATCCTGATCTTGCTCTCCAGGGAACCATGAAACACATGGAACATTGATACATGTTAAATTACAAACAATTGCATATATGATTGAGAATATTCAGATAAACCTTCATATAAGTCTCGAACGTTTTTCAAACTTCCACAGTTTGGACTCTCGAAATTTGTATTTGTACACCTTTTAACTGCAGATGTCCCCAAGCCTCCCAGCTCCTGTCAGATCTCATCCAAATAACTTCTTTTTATACAAACTCCATCTGTGGCTTTGACCTTCCCCAAGTGCAGCGTTTAATCAAATGTTCCTTAATTCTTTCTTTCATCCTGACACCTGGAAGTAATTTCAGCAGGTTTCATCATATTATTTCAATATTTCACACTCTCCTAATATTGATCTTAGTTGTCTTAAATCATCTCAGTTTATGATCTCTTTTCCAACATCACCCCCAAGATCCTCAAACTCTTGAAAAAGCAGACATTATACTGTATTAATAAGAATAAAGTAAAAGAAATAAGATCGCTCCATAATTAGTGGGTATAGGAGCATTTGAGAATAAATGGATAGTTAATTTTAATTCTACATGTACACACTTAAATATATTTTATTTTACTACATGAAAAATTGAAAACATTGTATGAAAAGATAGCTGAGGCACAAACTAAAGCTCTCAGTTTATCTGTATATTTTTATTCCCACCTATGGCCAGAACCTCTGGGTGGTGACTGAGAGAATGAGGCGGTAGACAAAAGGTTAGAAGCTCAGTGATGCGGGCAGACCTCTGTGCAGAGCCACTTCTCCTCTAATTTGACAGGGGCAAGCTGACGTGGTACAGCTGGTGAGGGGTGCCCTCTCTGTCCCTCCCTCTGGGGTTGTACCAAGCGCATTGCAACTGGGAGGAGACCCAGGGGTGGACCCAGAACACACCGCAGAGCCTAAAACTCCCAGCAGGCCTGGGATCACCTGGGGCCCTGTTGCCCTGGGACAGCAACAATACAGATAAATTAAATTACAAGTGAGAAAGAAGACTGGTTCGCCAGCTGTTGGACACTTTGGGATTGAATTTATAGCCAGACTCCTGGAAGTATTACAATTAGATGCCTTTACATTGAAGTTCTAATCTGCATCAATTACAAAAATCACTTTCAGTCTATAATTATATTATACACTTCCCCACCAGTGTATCAGGCTTAATGATGGTTACCATGTTTACCAACACAGAAACAGAACTGAATTGAACTGTTGGTAGCTTTCTTCTATTATGTATATCTCAATGAATTAAATTGTTTGAGAATCCAGCTCCAATGTGTCTGTCTGGATATGCTTTCATCTGTATTTGCATACTAACACCTTTTCTCCTTGGCAGAGCTTTTCTATCTTCACTGTAAATGTTTTTCTCTCTTTAGCAGGTTTTCCTTCTTCCTGTTCTGAACTATTGTATAATGTATATATGTATTATCACAGTATTGTCACAAGATTTGTTCCACAACTCTTCAGTCTAGATTTTCAGATTCTTTTCCCTCTCCCTCCTGTTTCCGGTCTCTCTCTATCCCTCTATCTATGCCCCCAACTGTCTACCCCCCCATCCCTCCATCCTGCTCCCCTCTTCCCAGAGAGTTTTCCAAGGAGAGGGAGAAGGCCAAGGCACGTGGTGACTTCCAGAAACTCAGAGAAAAACAGCAACTAGAGGAGGACCTCAAGGTAGGCTGTAGGCTGTGCTTGTTAAATTGAGCCACCTTCTGAAAGAGGATGTAACCTGCCACAAAAATGCACTGTATATTACTGTCAGGCTTTTCAAAAGGTGATTGAAATTATAAAGTTCCCAGTTTCCTGTTGCTAAATCTGGCACTATCAAGGCCACAGGATAGGCAGAGTTAGGTAGGAATTAAGGCAACACCTTATCATGGTTAATACAGCTTTATTAAATATTGAACATCTTTTACCACTAGTGAGAAGGACGACCAACAGAATATGGACGTCAAAGAGAAGTCCAAAATACCATCAGTCTCAGGCAGCAAATATAGAATGCAGAGCAAACTTTATTTACGAGGCAAATCGAAGGAAATCAAAGAGACTGATTGAGTTTAAAAAATCATGTTAAAATACTGTAGTTGAAACTGCTGTATGTCCATACATCATCTAAAAGTGCCCAATAGAAAAATAGGGTACAGAAATATCGAGAAACATAATGAATAGGAAACATTTCATTGCTTTCAGTCCTGTCCTGTTAACCAGTCAGTATTTTCTTTATCTGTGTGTGTATCCGTACGTGAATATAGGGCTATTTAGACTGGATCACTCAGGCTGAAGACATTGACCCAGAGAATGAAGAGGAGGGCATGGACGATGACAAACCCAGAAACCGTGAGTACTACAGTGTGTGCTTGTGTGTTAAACATTAAAATGGGCGAGAGGGAGTGATGATCTATTTGCTTACTGTAGTTTGCCTTGAAGATGACAATGCCTTTGTGTGTGTGTGATTTATGAATTGTTGCGTGATGGCATTGTAGGTTAGGATTTTCTGTATTTTGGGTACAGTACGACTTTGTGTGAAAATGGATGGCCAGTTGTAATAATTGTGTTTATATCTGACTATGTTATGTGCTTAGTGCACCAAGTGAGGAGAACTGTGCATGTGTGGGTGTGTGTATGTTTGTGTTAAATTTAGTGTTTGGTCTATAAGTAGTGAGCTCACTGCAGTCTCCATCACATGGTAGTGGCTTATAGTCAGTGAATGAACGGCTGACTTAGTGACAGAGTGACTGACTGACAAACTGAGAGGATGTTAATATTGTCTGCTTGCTTTGGCTGAGAACCCTCTTGAGGTTTAAAGCCTGTTTAGATATTAGTGGAATGTGTCAGACTGCAGCTAATAGCCTCTGGGCACACACTTGCATGCACACAACAAACATGCACACACACTCACTTAGGCAAACTCATACACACACACTGTAGGTATACACCCTTAGGAGTGTGTGTACTTGTCTGTTGACAGGAATGTACACACACAAATTAACACCCTGTCTCTTTCCACAACACCTCCAGAGAAAGGCATCCACACATGGCACTTCTCTCCCCAGGACTGAGCTACATTTCCAGGGGAGGGAGAGTAGAGCACTGGTCTCATTTGACCTGGAGGTTTGAGCTCAGAGAAGATAAATAGAACTTGAAATAGGGATAGTGAGAAAGAGAAGCAGGGATTTGACGAAAAGTGTGTCTGTCCTATTTTTGTGCATGTATTGTACAGTATGCACTATGAACTATTTTATAAAGGCTTGGAGCTCAGCTGGCTCACACTGATGATAAATGAATGAATGATGCGGACTAAATATGCAGCGGTAGAGCATGCAATCTGCATACATTCTGCACACAGTGCGCTCATTTCCTACAAAGCACTGTGGCTCATTCTGAGGAACACTGATGACTGCCAAGGGAAGAAGAAAGAAAGAAAAAAATTATGATCTAATCTTTCAGTGAATCGCTAGAAATTAACATGGTCAAATGAGCAATGACCCAATTTGCATGAAAATAAGGCACAACACCCCTGTGGCTAATCTGTAACCTCTGCTTGTTTTCACTTGTTACCGTTGTGCTCCCCTGGGACAATCAGTGTTGCAAAAACACATCAGCAGTGTCTGAGATATTGGCACATTAACAAATAGACAAATACAGTATGTGGCCTCCCAGCTGGGCCACTTTTGTAAAATATCAGCTCACAATATTGAGATGCTGCTTTCCTTCAAGTTTTACAAATTTTGCATCAGAAGATGTTATGTCCAATGTCCACACAAACCCAAGTTAGTCATAGTGTTAAACAATAAAGAACACAAGACTATTTACAAGTATTCAAACTAAGTATCAGTCAGATGCAAGATTCAGTCCACTGCTTTTACTAAATGATATAACTTAGGCCAATTAGATTTAGATTATCTGACAAAATGATTGATACATATGATCCTAAGTTCTCCATCAGAGAGATCAATCATCCCTCTGTTTGTGAAGGTGGAAAATCAAGTCACTTGCTCTCTTATTGCTCTGCCTCCCTCTCTCCTCGATGGATGGATCCTCCTCTGGGAAGATGAATGAGGGCAGTTTGTCCCTGCTGCCCAGGACATTTTGCATAGACTAGTGCATGCACACACACACACACACACACACACACACACACACACGTATGTCCTAAGAAGGGATAGGAGACTTAGAGAATAGAGGAGAAGATAGCAATGAGAGAGGTGGAAGGGAAAAAAAAGTTGAGATACGAAAGAGGGATATAAATGTATGGAGAGTGACAAATAGAGACACAGAGGGTATCTGGGACAGAGAACAGATGGGATTTCACACCATGAACAAGTCACACTAGTGACCATACACTCATACAGAAACCACACACATCCTTCTATGTGTCTATCTCTCACCCAGTCTTTACATGAAGAGCTACAAGGGTGTAATATTGATGTATCATGTGAATATAGAGTGTTCAGAAAAAGATAAATATTTATAGTCTTTGCGTGTGTTTTTTGTGTGTGACAGAGAGTAGTAGATGTCATTCAGTCTATTGATTTTGACTGTTTTTAGTAACAGCATGAGTGAGGGTGCATGTCTCAAAAGCCTCCAAAATATACAGGTTAATTATTTGTGAGGTTGCACTTATGACCAACAAATACATACATGCACACACACACTGTGGTACGAATGGCATGTTAGTCCTTTATTTATTTATGGATATGTATCATATGATGTGTTTCCTCTACGCATTTGTGTGTTGTGTGTGTTCCTGTCATCTCGGGGGCATACTGTATGTGTGTGTCCTGCATGCTCTCACCCTCTGCCATCTTGTTCTTGCATGCTGTCGTCTTGTTTTGGCATCCTGCCACTGCTGTCTGTGGTAGGAGTGTCTCCAGCCCACCTGGGTAAGAAGACCAGTAAGCTTGCCTGGTTCAGTCATTCTACTGACTCTCAGGACGGTATGTGTCCGTCTCTGTGTCGTGCGTGTTTGTGACATGTGTTTCCACGTGAATTCGGTTGTAATCAGGCATGTGTTTATATTAAAGTTTCATAGGATGATTGCTTCAGTTGAAGTTATCTTGGTAAATCTCAATGAATAAGATATAAGATCTAAAGGGCTTGTGGTCAAAATGTTTCCTTTAGGAGCATGTTGGAGGGTTTACATGTCCCATTTATCAAGCAAACACCTCGGGACCCCCCAGGATGACGTGGAGAATGTAACTTAGGTTCCAACTGTATGGATCAATAAGATAAAAGTCTTCAACATATTTAAATGAAGACCACTCTACTATGCATTTCATGGTGATAGTAATACAGATGTGGCCGTATATGTGTCGGAAGTGTAGCATGCATTTTGCTGCTACTCTATAGTAGATTTATAGTCTATACTATAGATTTAAAATGTTTCCTATTTATAACTAAAGTATTAGTATACTTCAGACTGTTGTCTTTGATGAGAGAAAATATTCCTTGATCTGTTTTTCTGTCTCCGCCGATGAAACTTTGGTTTTCCAACTTCTGCCATGATAAATATGTGCATTTGCCTTGAGGGTTCGTATTCCACAATAGAAAACCTATTTGCGAGGGTTGTGTTTGCGGTTTTGAATATGGTGGTACCCAAGAAGCTGATTTTCATGTATCATTATCGTCTGCAATTTAGTCAAAGCTTAAACAATCTTTGTGTAGCGATGTGGTTTATTTAGATGGATAACTGTATGAGTAATAAGCATGTGTGTGTAGCTGCGTGCTTGCATATATGTTTGTGTACTAAATGTTTGCTCGATATCATGCTTCATATATGTATATGTATATGTATTTCTTTTTCTTTTTTTTTTTTGCTACTGTACAAGTATGCTTGGACAATCACATTAGAATTACTGAGCAGAATTCAACAATAGAGTGACCCCGGTATGGAGGAGCATGCTGATGAATGCATAGGCTCAGAATAATGCAAATAGTGTGAGAGGAAGGGGTGAAGTGGACAAGAAACAATAGCTATTGTGTTGACCAAGAGGAAGAATACAGATTAGGATGGACACATGTATTGTACTGTGTAGTGCTCAGTGAAAAGAACACGGCAGCTAGCTTTTGAATGTTGACTTCCTCAACTTTCTAGAATATGACTCCTCTCAATGAATACCTTTTCCCTCTCTTTCTGTTTCTGTCTTTCTTTCTGTTCTGTAATTTCCTTTTACCTTAGAGAGAGATATTAAACAACAAAATGGGATAAGAGAGAAAAAGGCAGTAATACTAGTAATACATCTCAGAGTGTAGTTATAGCAGGAGTAATGAAATGAGGTGTAAATATGAAGAGGCAATGTAATTTTTGCAGAGGCAATCATGTGTCTTTGCAACAGGTTCTGTACTGTATGGCATTACAGCCAATACGAGTACACCATTATTTGTGTTTCCAATTGACAGTTTGTGTGCATTTTCGCATTTGTGCTGATTGTGAGTGCTTCTTTGTGTGTATCCATGCGTGTATGTGTGTTTGTCTTGCTGAGCCGTGCTCTCTATCCTCCAGGTAAGAACCATCGTTTTCAGTCTCTGCGTGGAGCCGTGAAGAAAAATGCGGCTTTCCTTCGTAAGGCGTGTGCGTCTGTCTGCATGGTCCAACACTAGTTAAAGATTTACTGGAAACGTGATTCTAGACATGCAAGCAGTCTGCACCCTCTCCTCTCCTCTCCTCTCCTCTCTTCTCCGCTCCCCCCGCCACTCCAAAGATTTAAAGCTAAAGGGGGCAGTGGCTGCCTCTCAACACTGTAAAGCAGTTTCCTCTCACTGTCTTCCTCGCCCCTCTTGTACACCTTCCATTTAATACTAATCTAATTTCAAGGCCATATATATTAATATTCTCTCGCAGTGGAGACTTGGAAGTTTGCCACCAATTAGTATCCCTGCTGCGTGCAATATTGAATGTCTTCATTGCATTAAAACCTTTACCAAGTTTCATGGCCCTCAACTTTTAATTATGTGTAATCCAAAAGGCGAGAACTATCACTAAAGGGAATAAAGAGATAAGGAGAGGAAACATTGTTTCTGTATTGAGATGCAGTCATTATTTTCCTTTTTTAGGATCGTAGGAAAGGATACAGTTCGCATCTGCCTGACTTCTCTGAAAAAAGAGGACAATGTCATCACAGAATACAACTGGAGTGCGGTTTACACACTGCGCATGACAACTAAAAACATATGTAATGTTTGTGATGCCACAGTCCTCTCCTTGTTATTTCAGATTCCTTTCCCTAAAATGCCCCTGCTTTGTTGCTAGCCATGCTAGCTCTGATAATAAAAGATAATGGAGAAATAGCTTTAAAATTTGAATTTTAGCCTTTTTACAATTTTCACCAGGCACTTGCCATATTGTTGAGTAGAAATACAAGATACTGGTACTTCTTTTCACTAGCTTCAGCGATGAGTGCTTGCATGCTAACAAGCTGTTTATGGATTATTTTTAATCATACCCAATATGATGTGACAATTGCCCAGTGAGAAAAAAAATAGAGACTAAAATTCAAAATATTACATTATTGTATTAAACTGCATGAAAAATTTTTATTTTTTGAACAGTGGATTCACAGTAATTTTTGGTCAATTTGGTATCAAAAATGTGGACAGCTTAAAATACCTGAAAACGACTTCTGGAGATGATGGCATGGACAATTAATATCTGAATGAAGGACTAGTTCAATATGTTGATACAGTCACAAAACAGAGCCGTACACAAACACACACACACACACACACACACACATTTTTCTCCAAAGACTACTGTAGTGAATCCTTTAATCATCATTTAGTTCACTACATTAGGGTGGAGTTTGCTTACTTTCAGTTCTGTTATTAAATGCTTTGACACATTCACACATGCCAACATTGGTAAGAATGACTGAATCCCTCTTTTGTGTTAAAAAAGTGTTACCCTTACCTGTCTTTCTCATTCCTTTCCTCCTTCCTTCCATTTCTCTCCCTCCCATGCTCCTTCCTCGTCTCCTTCTCATCTCCCTTTCTCTCTGTGTCTCAGGTCTTTGGGGTTTACTCTAACAATAGGTATTAAACTAGTTCAGAGCTCCATTGAGGAGAAGGCACCAGGCTGGTTTTATATTTGAAAGGTTTTAGCCTCGGGAGAGACTGGAGGACCCGGAGTGCTTTTAACTAAGTAGCATAGCAGCAGGTGGCACGTGTTGAGGTGAGGGGACATACAGCATGTTCACAGCAGAGGCCTTAACGTTCAGAGAAACCATCCCAATCTCTGCAACACAGAACTCATCCAACACCAACCATGTGGCAAAATACACTCTTCACTCACTGCAGCTTACTTTGATTTATTATGTTAGCTTAGTGCTTACAAGCTTACAGCTTATTATATAAAACATAACGTTAAAAAAAGTTTTTTTTTAAACCTATGAATGCTGCAAACCATATTTATTTATATTTATATTGAATCCATTGCTAAAAATCTTTTGGAAATCTGCCCTGGGAACTAGGTTGGCCCTCAAAAAGATATCCAAATGCTATTGTCAGAATGGCTTGATGACTGCAGCCCCCTTTTTTAGCTCGGAATGACCAACTGCATGCTTGCTTTTCTTTGATTTACTTGATTGCTTATTGGTTTGGCACGTCATTATTTTTATTCAAGGTTAGAGAAGTCATACATTACATGTTGTATTTAGATAGATTTCTAGATTTAAACAAAAAAGACCTCTCATCCTAACTGCTGATCATTTTCTTTGGTTTCATGCTAAGAGTCGTTTTACAAGAGTAGGTTTTACATTTTTATCAGTGGATGTCTTACTTTAACACAATATGCATTGAGATTCATATGCAGTATCTGAGTTTGGTACCCAGAGGTTGTTACAATAAGTGTTTGAGGTGACAGCGAGAGGAGTGCAGCTCATTCCCGCAGGCAGGCAAAGACTGACAGAAGCAATAAAAAGCAATGTATCACTTCATATCAGTCCAATCCATTTTTTTCCCCTACCTCCATCCGTACCTCTCTTAATGCCTCCATCAGTCCTTCCACTCAACCCCACTCTATTTTTTCACTTCATCCTCCCTCTTTAACACTTTTCCATCCTTACCTGCCAATTCGTATTACACTTGCCCTTCCTCTACAGCAGTTTCTGCCTCCATCTTGCATCCATCCTTCCATCTTTACACATCACTACACTTGTCTTTAGATAAGGACAAAGTGACACATTTGCAGTCTCCTTGTGGCTTTATAAACAGACAAGGATTGGGCTCAATGAGCTTTCTACCTGTTTGCATATCTGCAAAAAAAAACAACCTTTGGAGCAAGGGAGTAAGTTTTCAGATGTTTGCATTGACAATCCTGCCAAAGCTCTCGCAGCTTGAATAAAGTTAAGAAAACTTATTAAAAAGCATTTCAAGGTTTTTTCAAAACCTTGGCTGCAATTAAACTCCAACATCCCCCATGAGTTTTCAGACCAAAGACCAAAATCTTCCGCATGTTTTTTCTTTCAATTTCCATGAGCTATGAAACCACCAAAGGGTTTTGTTAAGATTTAATTCACCCGCAGTTAGGCAATCCCTCAGATTAGAAATTGAAATCCTTCTTAATAGCTGTTGCAGAGGTTGTATCTCAGGCTCCCTAAGTGGTAAATATTACTGGTATAGAAAATTAGTGTGTAATTACTTAATTTAAAAATTATGTCGAGTGCACCTCCTTATTACTTACCTATAGAAGACTGGTTGCACTAGTACATTTATAAAGTTTAGAGCAAGCAATACAGTAAACACCAGCAAAAGAATGATGTAAGTGAGGATGTACAACCAATTTCCTTATTGTGTTTATTCATCTTTCTCTTTCTTCCTTTTCCTGTTTTTCTTTCTACATCTGTCATCTCCTTTTCTCTGCATTTTCTCAGTGAGCATGCCGGCCAGTGAGAATGAATCAGTCAACACAGACAACGCCCCCGGGGGAGACGTGGAGGGGGAGACCTGCTGTACCCGGCTAGCGTAAGTCCCTTCTCTCATACACACCTCTTCTCCTCCCTCTATCCCTCAGCTCTCTCAGTCACCTTCTGTCAATCCCAAGGATGAACTCTTATCTTGCATCTTTCCTGTATTAGCACTTCAGTGTTAGCTATGGTACAAGTGGCTTAGCCTGCCTCTATCCTTTACTGATCTCACAAAGCCAGACCTCTGTCTCATCAAGCTTACAGAGGTTTGGAAGAATTCATGCTGGTAACGCTGGTCAGAGGAGTGACAGTGGGTTGTATTCTTACTTTAAACTGATCATATTTCATATTCTCTGATTTAAAGAGACACCTAAATAGAGCTGCTGTTCCCAGAGGCGTCTTCATTTTCGAAACAGTTTTCCCTAAAAAATCTGTGACCTTGATGAGACATAGGTCAGACTAAGAGGAATTAATCCTACATTAAACCACCATGCCTAAACAACCACATTGATGTCTGAAGTTGCCGGATCCTTTCTTAGCTGAAAAATTTAAATTTAAATGATTTTCATCTTGCATTATGGCTCATTTTTAATATCTAAATATATATTTGTCATTGCTATCAGAGGAAAAAAATGTATTTTCCAAAAGTATAGTTTTTATACTGTATTATTAATTAATTATTAATCAGTGTCACAGAACCTTAACCCAAATCATAAATAAAGGAATAAATTCAGAACAGAAGAAGATTCTTCTGTTCTGAATTTGTCCATTTCACAAGGTAAACATGACTTTTGACTCGTGGTGCAAAGAAAGCTTGACCATTATTTGGGATTTAACAAAAAGTAGAAAAGCAGGACGTTACATCTCAATAGTAATCAATAGTTTTATTTCCTTTTCTTCTCTCCAACTCTATTCTCTCTCCTTCATGTGTTTGCTAGTGAAGTGCTTTCCTCCTCCCCTGTGGGAGCTCACGAACAGCTGACTCACTCGCTCCGACTCCCCCTTCTCCTTTCATTTTTTACATTATTCAAACAAGTGTGTTGCTTTCTTTCTTAGACACAAAGCCACGCAGGAGCCGTGACCCCAGCGGGCCCACTTTAGCACACAAAGGCACAAACACACAGTATCAACAGTTTAGAGGTGAAAACTGAATCAAAACACTAAAGCCAGTTGGCACACTTGGATGGCACACTGTTTGTACTCTCGCTGTCCATCCTTGTCTATGTTATGTTGTTTGTGTTTATTTGTCCCCTGTCAGACCAAAACAACTCAAAACAAAGGATATGTCATATCGGAGTCTTCAGGAGGTACCACAAACCCAACACATAGTGCTAAATGCCAAAGAAAAGTTATTCTGAAACCATAATTTCGTTACAAACAAATTAGCAATTTGCATCGGTCCATTTGATGTGTATATTACGCTAACTAGTAGGGTTGGGCTGCAAGATATGATTATTTTCGTACACATGTGCTGGGTTGGCTCAATTCAGTTTGATACGGCCCATCAGCCCAGCATGGCAGGGATTTGCATTTCCACAACAACAGCGCTACAACACGGACAGAAAAGCCGCTAACATCTGCTACAGTGACATTTAACTTTCTATAAATTCGTTACTATAAAAGTCTCCAGTTATTTAAACACTTCTATAAAGAAGCAGCAAAACCATGAAATGTTGGGTTTCCATCAACAGTAACGTAACACAATTCCTGTACAGCTGATAGCAAACATGAAACAGTCAAATAAAGCAGATATCTGAAAGTACCAACAGGGATGCAGGACAGAAACTACACTTCAAACCACAGAGATTCAGTTGTCATGGGTTGGTGAGAGGCAGGTCGGGCATTTTGTTATTTTGTGTATTAAAGATCAAATTAGGAAAATAGGTGAAGGTTACATTTTATCTACTTGTGTGCCAATAAACATCTTGTTACAGGGTGTAATTTTCTCCTTCATACCTTCTAAAATAGCTGCAGAAAAAAACTCATTTGGTCTGAGAATTCACATAAAATGTGTAAGTCTACAGCATCAATCTCCCTTTTTATTATTCACAAAGGAGCTCGAGAATTTAAACCTGCAATTTTGAGTCTGACTTAAATAAGTGACTTTTCACTGTATTCCGACCAAATGTATAGTAAACCTTGCCAAGACTGAATATGCGAGCCCTCGTCCTCCGTGAGACTAGCTAGCTGGCTAGGGGCATTTGCTCACACTATTATGAAGATAAAACTTGAGACTTTCAGTGTTTGTCAGTTCTTCTTCACATTGCTATGGAGACAGACCTCAGGGTAGGAGCTACTTTGGCGCCCGCTGATCTTATAATCGAGATAGACACATGGAGAGAAGAGACGTGTGTACTGTCAGCCTCCATATCCAGCCAGTCAGTCATTTTATTCTTTCGTTCAGTCAGTCAGTGAGTCATTTCATTGCTTCAGTCAGTCGGTCAGTCAGCCAGTCAGTCAGCGGGTCATTCATCTGCTTTTACAGACAAAAACAGTGCACAGTTGCTCACAACAACTCCCTAAAAGCTTCAAGAGGACTTAAGTGTTTTTATTACAGTATGTAATACTACTACATTCTCTTTTAATTTATTTCCAAAATTAATGTAGAAACAATAAAATTTAATTTAATTTCAACAGTTACACCAATACTCTAATTAACCAAACATTTGTACTATTGTGTGAATCTGGTTTGGTTATCATTACACAACCCTTGGCTGAGAGAAGAGCCTCAGCCTGTAAACTTACCAGCATGTGGTTGGTTTGATAAATTAAAATGCACATTAAAGTTACAGATTCAGCCCCGTGGTCAAATCATTTCATCTGAACATCACAGATTGAAATAATTTGATATGTTGTTGATTCAAATTTCCACAGTGGAAAGGTTCTCTACTGTTCTGTTCTGTTCTGTTCTGTTCTGTTCTCTTATCTTCTCTTTTTTTCTATTCACTTTCCAGAGACAATGTCTTCCATAATCTCTTGTCCTTAGTACTTTATGTATGTACTTTTTTTCTGTTACAGTGGTGAACAATCAACAGACATGTTTCTATTAATGAATTGTGTATAATCACATGAGGGCTGATTGAAGGAATCCCAAACATGCAGCATTTTTTTCTTTTGACTGGATGCCACTGTATACATGTTTGCAGGGGGTGATTTGAAGAGTTGGGTGGTCATAATGAGAAGCTTTTTTGCTGGTGTAAGTCATATCAGACACTAAACTACCAAAAGTTGGTGATACAACAGAATTGTGTATCAAAGGTGCAGAAAATGCTGGACACACAACAACGTGATAATGAGAGAACCTATTTCCCCTTTATCCCCTTCAAATCACCCCTTTCATGTTGTGTCTATATGTGTGTTATGTGTGTGTGTGTGTATAATCCATTCTGTTTTCTGTGTTCCAGAAATAGGATCTCCAAATCCAAGTTCAGGTTAGTACATGTTGTTTACCATAGTCCTTCAATTCACCTGCTCTAATGTCTCTATTGCTGTGGTATTTGTACGGTCGCTGGATGTGTGTGCGTTTCTTGTGCACACCTGTACACAAGCACACACAGAGACACTGACGTAGCAATAGATAGCCTCACTCTTTAAAGGAATAGTTCAACATTTTGGGAAATATGCTTACTTTCTTTCCTGCCAAAAGTTAAATAAGAAGATTGAAACCACTTTCATGTTTGTATGGTAAATATTAATCTATAGCAGTTAGCTACCAGTTAGCTTAGCTTAGCACATAGGCTGGAGATAGGGGTCACAGCTAGTCTGGCTCTGTCCAAAAGTAAGAAGCTTGCTAACATCTCAATTGTTTCAATTTCATACAAAAATCATAATTTAAAAATAACAAGTTCAGTCTTTGTGCTAAGTTAAGCTAACCATCTGCTCGCAGTAAAATCATATCTAACAGACAGATAGAAGAGTGGATTTTATCTTCTTATCTAACTCTTGGCAAGAAAGCAAATAAGTCTCTCTCCCAAAATGTCAAACTATTCCTTTAAATTGTTAAAAAAAATGAAGTGTATTGTCATCAAGAGAGACAGAAAAATAGTGTTTTCAAAAGGTCATGCATATTTTCACAAATTACAAAGACACTAAAAATGACATGTCTTTTAATGTAAAAATGCATGTCCGCTTGTGTTGTGTTGTGAGTTGTGTCTCATGTAACATTCAGTGTGTGCATCATGGCAAATGTGTGCCGTAACTGACTCTAAACAGCTCACACACACTCAAACAGAAAACTGATAAAACATGAATTTTGTATAGGCAGAGAAGGGAGAACACTTCCCAGTGAGCCATGTTGATCTGTTTGAAAAGAGGCCTTGCAGATACAGGACAAATATCCGTGCAAGCAGGTCTGGCGTTGTGGGGTGCCAGTGGAGAAATAATAGCTGGACACTCACAGCAGAAAAAAGATTAGGGCAGTTGTGGTCTGGATTTATTTAGTTGTTATAAATAAAAGCAGATTTCTTCTGTGATGAATAAAAAAGTCTCTGCTCAGTCTCAGTTGTCTTACAAGGAGGTTCTTTATTACAGCACTGGCGCCAGGAAGCCGACTTCACACATCGAATACAGTATAGGTGTCAGCTTGACAAAAACCCCTCCACGAGCCTAGTTATACCCACACTGCCAAGGTCAAAGAAAGGGGGCCTTCATAGCTATTATATCTTCTTTTCTAAACATCCAAATCCAGCCAGAACCAGTTTCCAAACCAAGAAAACTGAGACACCCCAAGGTCTTCCAATTTTTACAACTGAACAGTCTGTTAAGTTGCACGTCAAGTGTTGCTTTGAGTTATTCAACAGATGATTTAACAGTGATTCAGCAATTTTACATATATATTTCAGTCATTTCCAGACTGATAAACACGTACTGTGAAAACGTGTGATGCAGTGTCTTAGCAGTACCAGAATTGTTCTGGACCTTCTTATTTTTATTCACTTTGTTTTAAGGCAGTCTAACATTAACAAATTATTGTCTCCTCATTAACTTTTAAGGTAATTTGGAGTAGATTTCTGTAATTATATGTTGCCATTTTGCCACTGCGCAAATACTGCCACTCCTACAAATACTTGTAGTGGCTGAGATACCGCTATATCAAAACAATTGTAACATGTATTGTGAAATTTGATTCCTCCCTCCAAGTGTCCCTTGTGACGCATATAAATCATAAACATGTAAAAGTCTAAAGTGAAATTCATGCTTCTCTGCTTCTGCATGATTAGAACAAAAACAAGGTTGACTGTCATCGGGTCTTTCGGTCTGTCTCATTATTGTTGAAAAGGACAATTATGAAATCTCAGTTGTCTAATCATTGGTACACGGGGGCGTAGGTAAAACAAATGGCATGACCCTTTAAGTGGACTGGTTCACATAGATGTGAGTGCGAGGCGTGAAGCTGCCAATTACCAGAAACAATAACTTTTATTTTCAGCAGTAGAGGGCAAGAAAAGTGCAAAAAGAACCTATGTACAACACAACACAGAACAACATAGAATTGTCTAAATAGAAAGAAAATGTGTTTTTTATGCTAAAATGAACCACTTCTTCTTTTGAAGCATGAATTTCCCCTTGAAGTGTGAATCACAATGTTGCACTTTTCGTTTAAATTTTTGCCTTCAATCATTTCGTAATAATAATTTTTTTTTATTCTCAAATGGTGCATATCTAGTGCTGCTACAAAGCTCTTCATACTGGCTTTTCCTTGGTGTGAAACGTCTTTGAGGATGACTAACTGTTCCACAGCTCTGCTCTCAAACAACAGACAACCACAGGCCAAGGGGTGATGTCATCACTATTCTGTAGACAAACTAATTGACTCTTTCTTTTTCTTCTCTCCCCACCGCTGTTTGCTTTTCACTCTCTTCTTCACTTGTTTCGGTTGATCATACTTTACTTTTTTCTTATTTCTTCTCTTATGGGCCCTCGCTCTACCTCTTTTCTCCTTTGTCTGCCTTTCTGCTCCTCACACTCTCTCTGCTACTTCACCTCTCTCTTTGACCCTCCCGCCTTTCTTTCAACTCCTTTCCCACATCCTCTCCTTTTTCCCTACCTCCTCCCTCTCTTATCTTTCCTCACCTCTCCATCTCTCTCTCTCTGTATCAATCTCTGCTTCTTCCTCTTCAGTCGATACTCTCGGAGGTGGAACAGGCTGTGTAGGAGGAAGTGCCGGGCAGCGGTCAAATCACAGGTTTTCTATTGGCTGGTCATCTTCCTGGTTTTCCTCAACACTCTGACCATCGCCTCTGAACATCACCAGCAGCCTCAGTGGCTAACCGATGTACAAGGTACACAAGCACACATTCTTGTACACACAAACATACCTCTTTTCATTCTGATTGTAGCGCAATTGTTCACTTTTTCGCAATCTCCTTCCCTTTCTACATCTCATATTTTTGCCGTGCCTTGTCTCTTTTTATTCCACCCTTATTTCCGTTTTCCAATCCCTGCCACTTTCCTCTTTTCTTTCCCCCTCAGACATAGCCAACAAGGTGTTGCTAGCACTCTTCACTGGTGAGATGCTGTTGAAGATGTACAGTCTGGGTCTGCAGGTAGGTGACTAACAGTAATGTTAAGTGTAAAGTAAAGTGTAACGTCCAGTCTTTATTCTCCTGTACTTGCTAACTTAAGTTTCACTTCTCTCTTTACTCTCCACAGGCATACTTCGTTTCGCTCTTCAATCGCTTTGACAGTTTCGTAGTATGTGGAGGAATTCTTGAGACCATTCTGGTGGAAACCAAGATCATGTCTCCTCTTGGCATCTCTGTGTTACGTTGCGTACGCTTGCTGCGAATCTTTAAAATAACCAGGTTAATATGGACATTTTTAATATTGAATTATTGAACAGGGTTTGCTGACAGAGAGTGTGTGTTTGTGTACTTTTGTCCTTCCACACACACATATTTGAAAGTCACCTACTGCTGTACTAGACAAAAGAAAGATAATAGCAACTATTATATTATGAATTGTCCTCAGGATGTTTTTGCACATACACATATATTAACTGGACGTCCCTCCCCCAGATACTGGAACTCCTTGTCCAACTTGGTGGCCTCCCTGCTAAACTCTGTTCGCTCCATCGCTTCCCTGCTGCTCCTGCTCTTCCTTTTCATCATCATCTTCTCCCTGCTCGGTATGCAGCTGTTCGGGGGAAAATTCAACTTCGACGAGACCCGACGTAGCACCTTTGACAACTTTCCCCAGTCTCTGCTCACTGTGTTTCAGGTAATGATACTCCAAATGTCCCTGGTCTATTTTCTCTTCCATCTTGTTTTCCATTTTCAGTTTGTATCCATAACATGATGATCTTTGTTTTCTCCATTTGTACAGTACACAAACGTTTGTAAGTCATCTAGTATGAGTCTTACAATGAACTGTATTATATCACTGTCACAAGGGTTAAAACTTTCTTCCAATGAAAATCGACAAAACTCAAAGATTTTTATTCCATTTCTTTCTTTCTCAGATCCTAACAGGGGAGGACTGGAACTCTGTGATGTATGATGGTATCATGGCATATGGTGGGCCGTCCTTTCCTGGGATGCTGGTCTGCATCTACTTCATCATCCTCTTCATCTGTGGAAACTGTATCCTGCCATACATAAAACAGCAATAAAACATAGCTATAAAGCTATATAATGTGGATCTAAAGGGAGGTGGAGGTATTCTGGAGGTTACTGAGTATGTCTACTCAAGCAGCTGAGTTCAGTGTCTTTCAGATGCAGAAAGGTTGCTGATTATTCACTTATCCTACCAGGATTGTTTGCAGCCAACCACGCTGATGATCTGATGGGTCAACAACATCCTTAACTTCACCCCTCTAAACAGATATCCTCCTGAATGTCTTCTTGGCCATCGCTGTGGACAATCTGGCAGATGCTGAGAGCCTGACATCCGCACAGAAAGAAGAGGAAGAGGAGAAGGAGAGGAAAAAATTGGCCAGGTAAAGCCGAAAGAGGAAGAAAGACAGGTGAACAGTTAGCTGAGGAAAAGAAAGCAAGAAAATTAAAACATTTGTGTGTCTGACCCACACCAGAGAAACTGGTATGGTAAGAGAGGGAGTAGGGGAGTTTGACCAATCTCATCAAGGGAGAGGTTTAGCTTACAGCATCCTAGATAGACATTTAAGGATGCTGATACTAGAGTGCTGAAATCAAAGCACTGAAAATGCTTCACAATTAGAACATGAACTATTAGGTTTTAGAGACAGGCTGCTTTGCTTTTCTGTCTAAACAAATTTAACTGGGTAATCTTAGTGTCTCATTGCCTACAAAGGTCATTTGTCAGCAATGGTAATGTTAGATTTTAGTGCCACTGAGGAAGATAACATTCCCCTCAGTGGCACAAATCATTAAATGTCTCCTCTTCTTGGTTGCAACCTGTATTGATCTGAGGAAAAAGTGTGATGGAAAACAACCTGCTGGCTAACTATCCCTTTGGTTTAATTATAACATCACAGCCACCCACTGTGATTGAAATACACCGTGATTGAAACACACATACTAATTGTTTATTCTGTCTTTCTGGCATTAAATTGTGTGATTTAAAACAAATCAGTGGATTAACAAGGGGCTAGCAATGCTAGGGGTAGCACAGGGAGAAAGATGCTAAAGGTGAGGATCTTCTTTTCCTCCTTCTTTCTCCAGGTTGGCCAGTCCAGAGAAGCGCCATAACAACGAGAAGCCACCTCTGGAGGAGGAGAAGAAGGAGAAGATAGAGCTTAAGTCCATCACTTCTGATGGAGAGACCAACACTGCTACTAAGGTACACACAAACATACAGAGAAGGACTAAAGCCACAGATTTCAATAAACGCACAAATGAGCAAGTGTGTACGTAGTCAGAGAAATTAATGCATTGGCAAATGCTCTCCCTCTGCAGATTAACATGGATGAGTACTGTGGAGATGAGAGTGAAGAGAAGAACCCATATCCTGCCAACGATTACATAGGTAACACGAGCCAGATTTGTGTACAACAAGGTGCAATTTTTCCTTTGTGTGACTTTCTGCTAAGGCACTCATACTTAGAGACTTTAAGCTCCACTTTTCCTACTTTTTCACACCACTTTATATCCTCTCCTATTCTTTCTGTCTGCTTTTTCCCTCTTTCTCACTATTATCCTTTTCCTCCCTCATATTAGGAGACGATGACGACGATGAGCCAGAGATGCCAGTAGGCCCTAGGCCACGGCCACTCTCCGACATTCAGCTGAAGGAGAAGGCCATTCCCATGCCAGAGGCCCGCGCTTTCTTCATCTTCAGCCACACCAACAAGTAAGAGTTCTTCTACCTACCTTATTTTTCTTCCCCCTCTTCCTTCCTCTCTGATGTTTCATCAGCTCTCAGGCTGTTTCTCTCTGTATTTTTCCATGCTCTTATTTTTGTGAAAAGAGACTCAAATATGAATCTCTCTCACTCTCCTTAGATTCAGGGTTCTGTGCCATAAGATCGTCAACCACAACATCTTCACCAACCTCATCCTCTTCTTCATCCTGCTCAGCAGCATCAGTCTGGCAGCTGAGGACCCGGTCAAAAATGACTCTTTCAGAAACCAGGTAACAGAAACACAAGTGTCTTAAAGTGTCAATACAGTATATACACGTACTGTACAAGGCTAAATGTACATTAAGGCACGGACAGAGGCAAACGTTACAGTCATCATTAGTTGCCCACACACATTCATTCTTTGCTAAGTGGATTAAATCCGACAGCAACATATAGAGGAACCAATGCTTTTTGTGACTGGCTGGTTACACTTAATAAGATTTCTTCCAGAGTAAAGCAACTGCGATTAACTTCATGTTAAGAAGATGTGAAACGCCTGTTAAGCTTTGTTTTGTCAATTTAAATAATTTTTTTTAACTTAATATTATAGTATTTGTTATGTACGCACATTGCAAAGAATTAAATTATTTATATTATATTTTTATGTTCAGTTTAAGTTAGACACATGTGTATTGTCAGCCTTAAGCCAAACTCTAAATACCCCAAAGCATGCACTATTTGCATTGCAGTTGCATATACTAGTAATGTATAAAGTTGTTTAGTGTTTATATGTGTAATTTGTGAGCTGTAGTCTAGTGTAAAGACTGATGACGATGTGTGCTCTATCTTTTTTTTCTATTTAGTTTCTTCTTTCATTGAGCAAGACAAATAAAGATCTTTTTCTTGTATTTTTCCTTGGCTATGGTATAGGCTGCTGCATATTAGTCTACCTCAATTAACCTTCGTCTGAAACTTTAATGAAATAATACATCCTGTTTTCAGATTCTGCTCCATTTTCAAAGTCTATTTAAGTCAAATCGGAATTCATTATCCTTGGACCTGAACCTCAGCATTATTATTTCAGTATGTTGTGGAGTCATCCAGGACTCTGCTACAGTTGACCACAAGTTCAGCCTTAACCCCCAAAGAATTGCATTTCCTCCTGTTTCTCTCTTTATTTCCATTGTGTAAACAATTTAGACTAGAAATAGTTGTGTTGTTACAGGTGGAGCCTAAAAAGTAACAAGAATGCCAAATCGTTTTTTTGTTGAGTTGATGCATGTACAACCTCAGCTCAGTCACACTTTTTATCATAGTTTGTTATTGTGGCAGATACAACTGATGACATAATGCCTCATGATGTTTCCTGCTCAATTAGAAAGTTATTGCATATTGTGCATGAAAAAAACTGTGTTGTTTTCAATTCCAGGAATGCTTTTTGTGTGTCACTGTAATAGTATCTCTAAACTGAAAACAATGATGCTCTTTGTTGTGTTTTCAGATCCTGGGCTATGCAGACCATGTCTTTACTGGACTCTTCACCATAGAGATCATTCTTAAGGTAGTATCTAATGTTTATGATGTAGGGTAAATGGGCCATATAATCTGCAAATGCTACAGTATGAACTAGCTGTGTAACATTTTCCACATATAGGATCGCAATAGAGACTTAGGTTTTGCTGCTGACAAACAATAGTTGATGTTTGTTACAACCTGGTTGATGTGCCTAGTGAGAAGGTGTTGCTGCATCAGGGCAACAACAATTTAGAGAATTTATTTTTAGGTTAACGTTCAATAAAGTATTTGTCCTTGGCAGTGAACACTTCCTTAAAGAAAGTTAAATCCAATACTTTCAGATACTATTTAATCCCTGATCAGTGTTAAAGGTAAGGCAGTCACTATGTCTGCCCTCTGCACGGTTCAATATCCTAAACTGTGATATAATCCTTCTTTATTTGACTCTCAAATATGAACTTTGATCCCACAGATGACAGCCTATGGAGCCTTCCTCCATAAAGGGTCATTCTGTAGAAACTATTTCAATATTCTGGACCTGGTGGTGGTCAGTGTGTCCCTCATCTCATCTGGGATACAGTGAGTGCAAGATAATGTTTTCTGATGCATGTTTTATACTGTTCCATTTTACTGCTTTAGCATTTCAATCAGACTTTTGTGCACTGATATTACCGACATTATTTGGCAACAATTCCAAGCGATATTACCAGTGAAGCTTACAGTATTATCTGATAAGCATTTACGTTATTACATGCTAAGAGACTGGACTAGATAATGACAAGTACATGAGAATCTAGTCCAGTCCAAGAACACATAAATAAAGTTGTAAAGTGGCTAAGTGGAAAAAATGTTTTCATTTGTAAACTGCCTCCTGCTTCACACTTCTCTCTATTCTCTAACAACTTTACACTTCATTACTCCCAATCCCCTTCTCTCTTTGTAATGTTTATTAAAAAATGTTCTCTGCTTCTCGTAGCAAATAACTCCTTAAAATGCTGTGATATTTTCTGATGTTTAATATGCTATACTACACTCTCTGTCTCTAATGTTTAATAGACTAGACATCTCGACGTAAGTCCATATTATCCCGTATTAATAACCCCCTTAACAGACCTTCACCTTAACTGTGTAAAAGTGTCACTCTTTTGATTTGGTATTTCTATTGTCTTGGAGAGTTTAGTCGAAAATCAAGACTGTAATCTGTGATGTTATCAGCAGTTGTAGTTTATTGGGATAACACTGTATTGATAATAAATGGATGATTTGTTATTAACAAACAGTATGTTTTTACGCTTAAAAATGCTTCTTAACAGGCATCAGCAGTCAAGTCAAATTCACTTCTAATATTTGTGGATAAACTGAACTCTCCCAGGCTATAGAAATGATACCTGAATGCTAAAACTTAATGGTTTTTGCCTGTTAAAAGTAGTTTGTGTGTGGGATTTTTCTTGAATATATCACAGTCAAATTAATTGTGATGGTGTTAAATTTTCGAAGTAAACTGTTAACTGCTTTATACTGCAGTTCTAGTATTTGCTGTACCTTTGCTTTGACACTCTTTTGCTATTATTACTACCCAATAATGAAGTATCTCCCTGAGATGTATCTGTATCTTTATTTATATGTTTCCATTTAAGTAACAGTGCACATTGAAGTAAAGCTGTAGGAAAGCAGGATGGAAATGTTTATGAGGAGGTCAGTAATTTAATATGCAAATGAAAACCAGTCATAAAGCAAATTACAACATATAACTACATCAGATGTTTCTGCTGTCATCCTGCAAAGTCCGGTCATTGTGGACAGCATGAAGTATGGCAAACAATAATTCACATGAAAGAACTGTGGCAAAGTGGCCAATATGATTATCTCTGGATGGAAACAGTGTTTTTGCTCTCTGAGGAAACTAGTTAGAATCTGGCGGCTTGCAAAAGTTATTACAGGTTCACCATTTGCCTCAACCCAGTCAACTGAAGCACAACTATATAATATAATATTTTAAAAGTTACAGTTAAATTTCAGTTGACATGTATATGGATTGTACTGTCACTAGATATCTTCACAGCTGGTTTGACTGTGATATGTTACTGATAACATCCTACTCCACATGAACTACCTTTAACTTCTCTTAAACTTTACCTTTCTGTGTTAAAAAGTTGCGCAACAGGTCTTTCCCTTACTTTCTGTTTAAAAGTCAACACAGAGTAATGTCACTCCCTTTAAATCACTCCTTTAACCATCTAAAAAGTCACTCCCTTGAAAGGATACATTGACATTTTGAATCCACTTTTTCCTTCTACCTTTGTCACACTATGGGAAAAAGTCTTTGTATTTGTTCTTCAGTTAACTGAATGACTGGCTTATTAGCTTTTCGCACTGAAATTAAATGTCAAAGATACTGGCAAGCTACATTTTTAGCATGTTTTATACCTGTTGACTTTTAAGTAGTAATAATTACACTTAAGATTCCAATAGTTCAGATTACTGAAGCACCCATGTCAAGGCTTTTTCCAAACATGTATTGTAAAATTCAAAATGTCAAGGTATTCATTTAATTATTTTGGTTAGTATGTAAAAGCTTTTCTTTTGAACCACTAGAAAAGGTCACACTGTTTGATCTTTGGATTGTACTGACACTCTCTTACAGCACAATAACTCTCTGTTTGCCTGTAAATGTCTGTTTGTGTCTTTGTGGTGGTCCATCTGGGTTGTACTTGTGTGTGTTTGTCCATGAACCATATGTATTTGTGTGTGTTGCGTGTATTGCACTATATTACATACACACTTTTACTATGATTTACTATCGTAGCCAATTTATGTTAGAAAAGGAAAACATGCTGTCTTGATAGACAGTACTCTTAACATTATTAGAGGAGGTGCTATCAGTCAATGAAACAAACATTTCTAAAGAAGTAGAGTATACAATAATTAATAATTAAAAGTAAAAAATGGACTAAACCAGATTTAGTAATGTGAACCTGTTCCAATCCCCTGTTAAAAATCTGAGATATTATTAAACAAGGGTAAGAGTAGCTTAATTACATTTTGTAAGCCAAACTTGTCTCTAAAGAGAACCATGGCTACTTTCATTCATTATTTCTTTGAATGTTTTTAGGATTATTTTATATCATACTATCTTGATCATTTTAATTTCCATAGCTTGTGTGTGAGTTGTCTTGATCTCCACAATTTCTTTCTTTGCCTCATGCTACAGTTTGTGTGAACAATCTTTAATACAGATACTACTGAACATGCCCTAGGGTGTGTGTTGTTTCTTGCAAATATGTCTTAACAGTAAAATATGTGTCAGTTTGACTGGTCAGCAGTTTAATCCCATGCGTGTTTCAGGTCCAGTGCAATTAATGTGGTGAAGATCCTGAGAGTTCTCCGAGTGCTCAGACCTCTGAGGGCCATCAACAGAGCCAAGGGACTAAAGGTTAGAGCACTCACACATATAATAATACACACATACTCTCTTCCTAACAAGTAAGACACATTCATGTACTCACTATCATATTTGGTGGGTTTTCCAGCATGTCGTGCAGTGCGTGTTTGTGGCCATCAGGACCATCGGCAACATTGTCATCGTCACCACGTTGCTGCAGTTCATGTTCGCCTGTATTGGAGTACAACTCTTTAAGGTAAAGAATAAGAAAATAGGGAAAGAAAAATGGAGGGGGGTCCTAAACCTAATGACATGTCAAATGTCGTAATTGTGCTTTTTTCTGAGTAATAAATATTTGTGTTTTCTATCAGGGCAAGTTCTTCTCCTGTACCGACAGCTCCAAACAAACTCAGGCAGATTGCAGGTAAGAGATTCCTCCTGCACACAAGCTTGTTAACTCTTTGCAGTGTAACTACTGGATAAAACACGTGAGTGTGTCTGTGTCTACTTGCATTTACAGAGGTTCCTACATTATGTATAAGGATGGTGATGTGGGGAAGCCTGAAAGAGCCCAGAGACTGTGGGAGAACAGTGACTTTAACTTTGACAATGTCCTCCAAGGCATGATGGCCCTATTTGCTGTGTCTACTTTTGAGGGCTGGCCAGGGTGTGTATCTACATACAGACACAATGCATGTATATATTGATCTGTATAATGTATATTGCTTGCTTTTTCAGTTTGTCTTGACTTTCCTCCTTTCCTTCAATGAATCTACCCTCCTTCCCTCAGGCTACTGTACCGAGCCATAGACTCTCATGCTGAGGACGTCGGGCCCATCTACAACTACCGCGTAGTCATCTCCATCTTCTTCATTATCTACATCATCATCATCGCCTTCTTCATGATGAACATCTTCGTCGGTTTCGTCATTGTCACATTCCAGGAGCAAGGAGAGCAAGAATATAAGAACTGTGAGCTGGACAAGAACCAGGTACTGTTTTTATCTGTTTTATATCAGCTATAACTGAATTTGTCGATGCCTTTGTGTGCGTTTAACTGCGGTTTTATGCTTTTGTTTAGCAGCAAGATAGAGTAGTAGGTTTCAGGTATAAGAATGACTGTGCTGTTCTGACTGAAGTGGGAAAGTCACTTTGTCATTCAGAAGGCACAGGGGAGAGGGAATGGAGGCCAGACAGTAGGGGGTGAGACATGGGAGAATCTGGACTGAGGCTGAACATGAGTTTTAGGGGGTGAACTACTTCAGGAGTCCAGCCAGGAGGGAGCTGCAGCAGTTCAGACAGAAGATGAGACTGAAGCTCAAAAAGAAGGAGACTAGGCCAAGTCTCTGCAGCTGTGTTCTCTGTGATGATCCATGTCTCACCAAGAGCATGGAAATGCACGGAGACGATGTAAGAATAGTCTGGGGTGGGAAAAGGCTTTTTTAGACTGCCAGCTTTTCCTCCATTGTCTGAGTACAGAGAGACAGAGTGATGAGGAGTTGGGGAACTACATCACCAGACAAAATTTAAAGGCAAATGTCTGTGTTTGTGCATGTTCACATGTTGGTGTTGTGTTTGTCTTACAGCGTCAGTGTGTGGAGTATGCTTTGAAGGCACGTCCATTGCGACGCTACATCCCCAAGAACCCCTACCAGTACAAGGTGTGGTATGTGGTCAATTCCACCTACTTTGAGTACCTGATGTTCACACTCATCCTTCTCAACACCATCTGTCTGGCCATGCAGGTGAGTCCCACACACACTCATAGATGAATGCAAGCACACACGGGGAAATATTGTAGTATATGCATTAGACTACTCCCAGTCTTTACAAACACTAATTAGTTGTTTATGTGATTTTGCAGCATCATGGTCAGACCACAGATTTCAACGATGCCATGAACATCCTCAACATGCTCTTCACTGGACTCTTCACTGTGGAGATGATCCTTAAACTGATCGCCTTCAAACCCAGGGTAGGTCCACTTCTCTAGCTGCAAAATAGAATAGCACCCTTGAACAGCACAGTAGAGCAGCATAGAAAATTGTATATTCTGCATTCAGTAGGTTGCAGGTGAATATTTGATAAAATAAATGTAAAGTCTAGTTTTTACTACTAATACAACGTACAACCAATGAATATAATAGAACAGTCAAATACATTTTAGCCATTGAATCCCATTGGTTGTAAATAACTGCTTACTGATGTTAAACTGTATATTCCCCATTCCTGTTTCATTTCCTCCAGATGATAATTATGATATTGTGGATTTGAAATGTGATTAGTGGACGGCATTGTGTGTTTTTTAATTTCACTGTTCCCTTGTTACCCTGCTGTTGTTGCTATGTGTGTATATTGGTCCAATCATAGAACTTCCTGGTGCATCAGCTATTTAAACAATAATAGATGGAGATTTTTCCCCCTATTATAGCCGGGTTGGTGGAAAATCCTTGCACACAATCAATAGCGAAAACATAGTTTAATATTAGATTTTTAGTCTTATCTCTACTGTTGCACCATACACCTTGTAAATCAAAAGATTAGTATAAGAAAAAAAGTTTCCCAGGTATTTTAGCCTTCTATCCAGGATAACTTGCAACAGTACCAGTGTCACTTTTACACATAAGGCTCATTATAACCATCATAACTAAATTCAAAATACCCCAGGTTTAAAAAATACCATTATTTTTAGTGTGTGGAGGAATTCATTTTACTTTTACTTTCTTTATTTTATATGTGAAGTTAATTGCTGGAAGTTAGTTGTTAGAATTAATGAATGTCATCCACAAATATATCAGTATTTGGGAGCCAGGGTCTTTTTTATTTATTATTATTAATTTAAACTTCTTTTTGTTTTTTTCCAATTAGATGTAAAATACAAATCATGTCCTACAAAATATGTGTTATTGTATATGTTTTATTAAGATGGATGACAGATGGTAAGATCTTGTAATACCTTTTGAAAATAATTATCTACTTGGACCAATTAGTCTGAGTAACATAAGACATGCTTTGTAGTATTTTCAAGCACAGGCAGCCCCAGTTAGAATTCACCCCCTAACTGTGCAGGACAACTTTTAAGGTTTGGGAATTGACTTCATGCTGTGCTGCATTATGTATGTAATCTTATATTATGTTCACCTGAAGACAGACTCATTTAAATTGCCAGATTTGTTTTTATGAGGGTTTCTTCAAAAGAGTTGTGAATCTTTACACTAAGAAAATATACAAACTGATACCTGTTTTCCTTCTTTCATGAACTATATAATAATATATAACTCTTTAATAAGTTATAATAAGTGCAGCATGACAACACATTCCCAACCATATTGAACAATTCTATTTATAAATAATATGGAATAGTTATTATATAATTATTGTGTGTGAGTCGCAACTTTAGGATGTGCCTTGTTTTCATTGGTTTTGCTTCAATAAACTCTTTCTTTAAACAGCTGACACACACAGAGGACCAGCTCATTAACACTTTTACTTCTCAGGTATTAACAGTCGTCAACACACGTGGAATAAGCTCCAGTAACATTTGCTCTGTTGAAAAGATGTATGCTAATGCATTTTAACTTTTGAACAGGTTTCACTGTCTCCGCCTTCTTCAGTTACTTATGATTTTACTGGTTGAGTTTTTTTCTGTTTTGTTCTGAGCATCTGAGCACATTGTTGAACTTACTGTTTTAAAACTGAGGTGTGTCTACATTGGTTCGTCAAATAAATTTAATCACTCCATACATCAGCATTTGGATACTAATGCTGAGCGCTGTTTTACTAATGTTTAACTCCGGTTTTACATTAATATTCTTACAAAAAGACTGTCAGCGGGTGCAGGTGAATTATGGCAAGAGGAGTTTTTGCTTTTTATGATGATACCTCAGCTGCTGATGACAAATGATGAAGCTTAAAATAGATTAGTAAGATTGATCTTCTCTCAGCATCCCTCTGTATCTGACACTTTTTCAGTTTGATGCAGTCAATTGGGTGGGATTTGTTTGTGCATACTTATTTAGTTAAACAGTTATTTTGTAGGTTTACTACAGTGTAAAATATGACTTCCAAAAAACTGAAAGGTTGAGGCCTCCCATCTCATTATCCAAAAAGTGATCCTTCTAATTTCCCTGCTCTAACTTCCAATCATATACAGTAACAAACAAATTTCCTCTAATCCATTGAGAATTGGTCAAAACATGGGCACATCATCATACTTCTTAGACTATAGTGATGAATAATTGCTAGTGTACTATGGAAACACAATCAGCCAGAATCTGAATGAGATGTCATTCATTTTCAGTATATGGAAATTTCTTCTGAGAGGACCATGTGGCCATTTACATCTTGGCTGTCTTAGTTCAAGTACACTAAAGCTGTTTTAAAATACAGCTCTCTCCTTTTACAGTACATTTAATATATTTTTATTTTACCAGCCTAGATAATACTGTTTTGGCCTGAAGCTATGTGGATGTTTTTTTTTTATATATAAATACTCACTTTGTACCGCTGCTGATGATAAATTGCCCACAATAAGTTAGGCAAACAATGTGGGCTTTCAGTATAATCACTGCCACAGCATTGTTGAATAGCCCCAAGATGCAAATGGGAGACTTTAGTAACTGCTATCTAACACGCCATCCTTAACAGAGCAGGAAATTCAGCTGCACTTGATGAACAGATACTAGATAAAGATAAAGGAAAAAAGTTGATTATGATCATTAGAATTAGAATTAAATTTGTTCATGTGTTGGGTCATCAGCTGATTTTTCTATTTCCTGAGTGTACTGTACAACCTCATACCACCTTAATAGGGCTGCGAAGTAGCAGCAGATGTTGTTTTCCTTCTAACGTACCTTTCTTACCCTCCTCCTCCTCCTCCTCCTCTTGCTCACCTCATCCTGTGTAGGGGTACTTTAGTGATCCCTGGAATGTGTTTGATTTCCTCATCGTAATTGGCAGCATAATAGACGTCATTCTCAGTGAGATCAACGTAAGTACGATGCCCACTCTCACTCTCACTCTTGCTGCTCTCTCTTTCTCTCTGTCTTGTGCCCTCTTGCTTCTTCTCAATCTTTCATTTCTTGCCTCTCTCCTTTCCTTTGTGGCTATTCTGTTTTGTGCTGTCTTTTCTCTTCATCTCTATTCCTTCTTCCTCTGCCTTCTTCTTTCTCTTCTTTCTTCTCCTTCTTCTCTCCCTCCATCCTTAACTCCAAGATGGCCGCTGCCACTCAGGGGACCCTCCAACCACAAGGGTTCCTGAGCAAGAACAAGCTTCTTCCTGGGTGTCATAAAAAGTAGCGGGGACAGAGGCAGGGTTTTAGCTTTTAACACAAAGGGTTTCTGTCTCGCGTCCTCCTTCCTTATTCCTCACAGTATCTCAGATGTTGTCGGGTTCTTGATTTTTTTCCCCACTTTTTGTCAGACTGTGACATGTCCTCAGGTTTGATTCCCTCACTAACTGAACTAACTCACTGACCAATCACAAACAGACACACCTTTTAATTTTTTTAACTACAGCAACAGGGGCGTTTTTTTTTGTGATTTTGTTGCAATTTGTTCTTTACTGTTGTTGTTGTTGTTGACATTTTCCTCTCATGGACAAGCATGACCGATCGCCGCTGCTCTTCCTCTGCTGTCCATCTCTTTCAGACTGCCCCTTCTTTTCTTTTTTGCCGTTTAATTTTGTTGATTCTTTCCCTCTCTCCTACTAAAATCTTCAGTGCTCATGTATATAATGTTTTTATCTTATTTTTCTCCTCTCTCCTTTGATTTCCGTTCTTTCCATTTTTTTAAATGTCTTATGTTCTGTCCTTTTCTTCTGTTGTTTTTCTGTTCTTTCCACCCCTACGCAGCATTATTTTGTTGATGCATGGAACACATTTGATGCCTTGATAGTTGTGGGTAGCATTGTTGACATAGCGATCACTGAGGTTAACGTAAGTAGTCCAACTCCCTCCCTCCCTTCCTGCCTGCCTGCTCTGCCATTCCCACACACACAAACAGACCGAGCGCCGATACCCATCTCGCATGCTTTCAAATGATTAGGAAACTTCAGCCTCACCACATCTGAACTTAAGAGACGGCTGAAGTCTGGCAGTTAAAACAGCCAGATGTAGCGCAATCAGAACAGAGCACAGTGCCCTCTGAAGGGTGCGTATAATTTAAAACATATGAAACACTAAATTTAAAGTTGCGCTTGGAGAACTTTGGCCCCTTGACATCTAAATAATAATTTGGCCATTATCAATTTGACTTATATTGAATACGTTGGCTTCTCAGGGCTAATAATTATCATTACTTACTTTATTACTTATTATTTTTTTGTTGAAATATAATTTAATGGAGGCTGCAAAACAGTTCTCGATGTTCCTCCTCCACATGCGTGCACATTTATCTTCAGCAGTATAAGAAGGCTGCAAATAAAACTTTATTTTCTTAGTTTAATTATTATTTTGTATATATTTCCTAATATTTGAAACTGCTCCGGATAGGTATTCATGCCTTGGTCTGCTGAACATCAATAGCATCAAAAACTATTGCATTTGCCAATAGAACCTATTGCATTGTCTCAGCACTTGGTTTGAGTTCACATTGGTTTATTTGATCTTTTGTCACTGCCATAGGGTATAGTGTCCATTCCCCTGGCATGATGGACACTGTATAGCATGACATATATAAAGGTGGTATATCCAGGCCTGGTACTTTATATAATGCTTTCAGAAAAAATCCATATTTCTGAAAAAGAAAGATTTTCTGGAAAGAAGGAAGGAATACAGATTCTCATTTTCGAACATTGTTTTTTTAACCTAAGTGTCATGAAACTCTCTCAATTCATAAATCATCAGGGAAACTTTACATTCAAATGAGAAAAATACAAGTTGCAGTTGCATTTTTTTTTGTCCGACAATAGCAATGTGCAGACATAGAGAACAATTTGATCCATAAATGGATTTACTCAGGACCCATAAAATTTATGTAAATGTATGTATGAATTCATTTATTATCGACGTGGAGGCCCTATGGTCAACAGTGGGGCTGAATAAGAATGAATATCCCAAACACAAGTCAAATGTTGAGTGTCTATCGTATTTACACTTCAGGGATAATTGGTGTTTTATTCATGTGATATTCAAAGCACTCTTTGGTAGAAGAATGGTCTGAGAACCATGCAAACTGCAAAGTGTGGTTTGACAGAACTCCAGTTCATTTAGCCTTAGAAGAGGATAAGTTTCACAGTTTGTACCAATTTTCCAGAAAAGAAAATCATTTTGTACCATGATCAGACTGGCCAACAAGCTGAATGACACTTAACAAAAACATTATTTATGCTGTGAAGGAGCTTTCTGTTGGAAAGTCTATCACTTAATTCCATTCAATGCTTCAGCTTAAGTCTGCAAAACTTTTCATCTCCAGTAGCAAACATCCAGTTAAAATGCCTCAGGGAACTGACTGTAGCTCAAGGCGCAGCTAACAAACTGTTGGTTTCAGTTTGATATTTATCGTATAGACATAAGAGTTGTATCAATCTTCTTATCTAACTCTTGCGAAGAAGGTTTCCCAAAACTATTTCTTAATTTGTTTATTTTTCGTTCACAATTTATGCTGTATCTTTAGCCACATCCATTAAGTAAATCTACATGAAGACATGGACATAAAGTCACAGGTTAGACTGAGACATTTATGTATTTAGCTTGAAGAGTTTTTGATTATGTCATATTAAACATAGATACACACACAAGGATCCATATTAAGTGTAGGTTTGACTGAAATCCTCTAACCCTCAGCCGGATGGCTGGTTTAAGGACGTGAAGCAGAGAAAAGATATGCACATGGGTACACCAGTGTGTTCCCCTATGGTGGAATGCAGTGTGTTTCACCTCAGACAGCACTGGTCAGGCATACAAATAAGGTTAGTGTATCCCAGGGGTGTATGAGCTTGGCAGTTGTTTTCCTGCCTTTAGAAAGGGAATCCATTTGTCCCCATGAGAGGCTGACAAAGCCACTTCTAAACAACACTGGGTAATTTCCAAACTGTACTTTTTATTCAGTTATTCTGTCTAGTTATTACAGAAATGTGATGTCAGGGAATCTCAGAAGTATCATAAATCTATATTTCCTGGTGTTGCTTTGCAGACAATGAATTTATCTGATGTTATAACAAAGTATACGTATGTACATAGAGAGATATGAGTATGTAAATACATAAAGAGAAACTTCATAAAGCCTGACAGAGCAAAATAAAAATCAATTTGGACAATGACATGTCTGATGGGAACTGCCAATATTCAACCACTGATCGATTAGCCACCTTAATACTGAGGTTCGTTGGGCCAGAGATATACATCTTTGTCATCTATACAAGTCACTGATGTTGCACTTAACTTTTTGGTTTGGAATCTGCCTTTGATTTGGTTTGATTGATTTGGTTGATTGGTTTGCAGTTCTTTCTTTTCCTCTCTCACCCCTAACCTAAAGGCATGCCCCAAGTCTTTTTTTCCCTCTCTTTTGTTCTTTTTCTCTGGTATTTTTTTTTATGATTTGGGTGATGAGATGCCCAAGCTACCTTTTCTATTTGTCTTTTTTAAGAAACCCTCCGCAATTCAATCCTGTGAGAACTTTTGACTGTTTTTGAACTGGGACCCTGTCAGTTAGACATTTTAGATTTTAGCCTGCTACTGCATTTCATCAGGCACTAAAGCACAAGTGAATGCTTTTTAACGTACTGAGAAATGCAATTAGAAACTAATAGTAGCAGCTTGCCAACAACTCCCTCTCTTTCATTGCATTTCTAAGTACAGAGTGAAGTGCAGTAACAGGCCAGCTTTTAAAATGTTATCACTTTGCCTTTAGTAAATATTAAATTGCCAAAGAAGCCCGTTTGAGTGCACTCACTTCGATGCTTTGCTGGGTGCTTGTTTGACTTAGATTAGCTGCATTTTTTGTGGTCTCCGAATCAGAATACTTTCTTAATCCAGGGTCTCTAATTCTTTCCAGCAACCTGCGGGTGCTTCTTAAATCTTACATGGTTTCTTTTACGTTTTTGGTTTTGGTTTGAGTAGAAGTAGTGTGAACAGATTGGTAGTGGTTTGCTCTGAGCGGTGTCTTGCAGACGATGCCAGTATGGACTGCATCTATTTCTCTTTTTCTTTCTTTCTATTCGGAATGCCTCCTCTTCTCCTCTCCATCTCTATCCTCCTCTTTCTGAGCTTTTTTCGGTTCACTTAACTCTTCTTTTATGGACGTTTATCTCTCTCTCTCTCTTTCTCTGTCTTCTTTCTCGTTGGTTTGCGGTGCTGCTTGCTCACCTGAAATGCAAGCTGGGTAACATGGATCTCTCATGCTTTTCATATACCCTAAGAGGTCAACCAATCTAAATATCTGCTATATTTTAAATGATTGTAATATTAGTTTGTTCTGTGTTTTTAATCCCTGCACATTAAACATTAAATGGGAATGCACTTTATGCTGCAATATTACAAGCCAACAAAATATGGATCAAAGAAAATAAATAAAACGCTGCATAAAGCTCAAAACTAGGGTAAGGATGTTCTCAAGAAACCCATGTTACCTATTGAACTGACTGAACTGATGAAATTTTTGCTCGAGAACATGACGTGCAATGTGAGAAAGCAGCCCAAGTTCATTTAAAATGAGCTCATAAATCCAATGAGCTGCAACTGCAGTAACTCACATCTGCACTGTAGTTCTGCCTGAAAGGACTTCCGTATATTTATTCACAAATGGACTGTTTTGTTTTTCTACTGAATTTTATGGTTAAAATCTCACCGCATGCACACATCCTCCAGGGCCACAAGTCCACTGTAGTCTCTGTAACTTGTTCAGTTTAACTTCATAATGAGAAATATAATAATGAGGAATCATTTGAGTTTAATCCAATTCTGGGTCACATCTTTGATTTCACATAGAAATTGAAGCAAATTCAGCATTAAATTACACTTAAATTGACCCTAATGGCCCTTTGTGTAATTCACACACAAATATACACACAGACAGACACAAATTCTCTCATATTTCAGTTTTTAATTACTACACTTAGTGAGAATCAGTGCCATCTTCCCTCCCTGCCTCCTTCCTTCCTTCCTTCCTTCCTTCCTCCCTACTTTCCTTCCTTCCATCCTTCCTTCCTACAGTTGTCCTTCCTTCCAACTTCCCTTCCCTTCACACTATAATGCCGCAGCTGTTTTCATCAGACATGCACACACACAAACACACACACACACACACACACACACACATATCCTCTCTTCACACACTCACACACTCTCTTCCTATAATTTTCACATCAGCAAATGATTAGTGTCCTTGTTGCTAGCCAGTTAGAAGTGTTAGAGTACATTTGTTTTAATATAAGTTTATAAGTATCCATTGTACTTGATGAAACATAGTTACCTATTACTCGGTACATCCTTATTGTGCGTGATCATAAAGTTTTGTGTATGGCTCCGTTAGAATTCCTTTAAATGCTTCATTCCTTCCCTCTTTTCTTGCTATATTCTCACCTTCTGTCCTCCTTGTTTGCTTTCCTTCTTTTGCTCCTAGCTTTCTAGCTCCTTTCTCTAACTTTTGTTGCTTCTTTCCTACTTTCTTTCTCTCTTTTTTTCTTCAAAGTTTATGTTACTTGCAAGCCCTTCTTTATTCCAGGAAAGATTGGGAATAATGAAGCATTATTTTGTGGTATGGTATTTTAACAGGGCCAATACCAAAGCAGAGTGAACCTCCTGAGTCATAGATTTAACTACTAGTTAATCTATCACTCTTAGCAGTGTAAAATGTTGCAGTACTAGGGACACCCAGTGGGTGTCTCCCTAAAGTATGTTATCTTCGTGCCTCTCAATGTTATGTAAATGACTTGTGAGCTTCGATTTCCAAATGCATCTAAATCATCTTCAGTGAAACTAATTGAGATGATCTTAACTTTCTGACTTTTTTATTGTGGTATTCTGATGCCTCTTTGACCTGAAAGTAGATTAAAGTTGTGGTCTGGTTGGACCACAAACAACATATATAAGCAACGGTACTTGATGTATTTATTTCACAACGTCCAAACCATGTTAATTTCACTTGGATCTTTACTATTCTCAGCACAAAGAACGGCTTGAATAGCACATATTCAAAGGAGGCATTGTTCTTTAATGCCAAGATGTGTTTGGTAAACGTTGCCTGAGTTAAGCCAACGCTTCAACCACTGTTACTGTACTGTAGCTTCAGCTGGCAGAAAGAAAAACAGATAGCCACAGAGGCGCCCCTCTATCCCCCATCATACACTCAAACCCATGTCCTCACTTAACACATGCTATGCTGCACATAGACACATACACATGCAGCTGCCCCAGACCATTATTCATTATTTTGGCCTTCAAGGCATTCAACAGCAATTGCCCAATATCTTACACATCCTACATGTTTCCAAGTAGTAAGTGATTAAGCCTGATGTGGCCCTCACGGAGGATGGGGCCAGTCTCTATATGTAGTAATATCTTACAGAATTCTCCCTCGTGGCCCAGATGAAATTATTTCCACCACATAAGGGTTCATCAGAGACTGAACCCTTACTAGCATGGTGGTTTGTGAGTTATTTTTTGTCTGGGCTGGTGCAAAATTCTCACATAAACAACCCTAAAACACACACACGCACAGTGACACACGCACACACACACACACACACACACACACACCAAGGCGCTGCTCTGGTGCTGATCTTTGTTGCCTTTCCTTAAAGCCAGCTGACTCCTCCTCGTCCTCGTCCTCCTCCTCTTCGTCCTCCTCCTCCTCCTCTTCCTCCTCTCACCCCCCTGCGGTAAGGCCAATGGTACGCTCCGACGGTAATCTCGTCCGCCTCCCTACCTCCTCCACCATCCCTCCATCCTTCCATCCTTCCATCCCTCCTTCTGCTACGCCATCCATGGTATGATCCAAAACTTTTGGCTTTTCATTGGTCCTGTCAACTCTTCTCTGTCGCTCCTGCTGTCATCTTCTACAGCATGTCCAGATTTATATTTATGTAGCTGTTGTTTGTACTTTTACCTGTTTTATATATATGTGTGTGTAT